GACACAGGAAGTGTAAGTCTTAATAACCTCATGGAAAACTTTACCCTTCATTGACACAGGTTTACTGAGGATTTGACTTACCTAATTTCAGTATGTTGCTCCTCTTTTAACAGAAGCCTAGCCAAGGAATTTCACTGAATAAAAGTTAATTGCATTGTACCTGAGGTAGTAAATGCAAACAGTCAACTCATTATTCTAATCAATCTCATATTTTATTCTCTCTTCATGTAAACAGATGTTACAAATGTTGCAGATTGGAGCTCTGATTTGGAGGCAAAAAAAATTAGCATAGCTAGAGATAAAACAGTGGTTCTGAACCCTTGATTCACATTAGAATAATCCTGCGAGCATTTAAAAAATACTAATACCTGGGTCCCACTCACAGAGATCCTGGTTTAACTGGACTGAGGTGAGACCCTGTTATTAAATTATTTTAAAAAGTCACCAGGTGATTCTAACGTGCAGCCATGATGAGAGCCACTGAGTTAAATTATAAAGCTAATTTTTAAAGTAGACTTTGTACCCAAGATTACTACAAACCTCATTTCTCTTCAAATAAATCACTTAAGAGGGTAAGACTTCAAAAAAAGAAAAGTTGAAAACTGTTTCTCATTTGTTATTCTAGGATAAAATAGTCGAGCTATGCTTTATTCTGGAATAAAGAAAAATAATTTTAACATCATAGGAGGCTTTCTACCAGCGTTACCATTTGGATCAGACTCCCTCCAAAGGAAAAAATAGGAATACTGTTCATGGTAAAACTATGTTTCTGCCACTAGCAACACTTTTAACCTCTTTTCTGACCAGGTGCCCTAATCAGCAATCTCTTTACTATGCAGCAGAGGTGAGGCAGAAACAATTCAAATCATCCCGAACTCTGGTCTGACAGCTGTTCGCTGTTGGCTAAATGGCCATTTGAAACTCGTAATAAAAACCACATCTCCTTAGCAACGAATTTTCCTTTTTAAATTCTTTTTACATTTCTGTCCATTGGCTAGTGAAATGGTGTCTCTGCAAGTGAGTCTGAAAAAAGAAATAAAAAACACAGTACAGAGAGCTGAAAGGGAGAGAGAGAGCTGAAAGGAAGAGGGTAAATACAAATCAACAGAAATGACCAGATGCACATGCTCGTTGGCCCACATACCATCACCACCTTCCATCCAACCAGTTGGTTATCATTGTATCTGTAGGTTCATCCACAAGCATCTTGCTTGTGCTTACAATCTCTAGAGATTTACAAAAGTAGATTTCCTGACAACAGCGGTTCTCCCCTTCTAAGTGTAGCTTTACTTTCTAAGCCAACAAATCATTCATTGTTTTGATCATTCCATACACCATATTCTAAAACTTAAAACACACAAGAAAAACAGGATGCCTCCAAAGAATCTTGAAGATTAAAGCTCCTTCTATCTTCAATCCATAGGTTGGCTACTCATTTGAACCAGGGCTTATCTTAATGCTAGTAACTTTTAAAAATTCTTAAATCCTTCATCTTGAACTTAGTATTAGCCACGTCATATATTCTTTCTCTCCCAAAGCCATTCTCCTACCCCACTACAGATGAAAACCTCCGCTGAAGTTGCCATCTATTCTGAGACATCTGTCCTGACCTAGAAGAGAATGCAAACCTAAAGTTTAAAAATGTAAAGTATTCTAAACCAAATAGTTTCTACATTTTAGATTTTCCTTTCTTTTCATCTGCCCTCTTCACATTCAATTCTAGAGGGTAGCTTTCCCTTTTTACTTTTTTTAATAACAGAAGGCTAATACCTTTCCCTTTCACTGGGCTATTCAAACATAAAATCTGTTTTGATCGCACAGAGGGAAAATGCATTCCCTACAAGGATATAATATCCAAGCAAAAGAGCGAAATAGACCATAAAAATGGTATGACCACCTATATCCATCCCTCTTCCTGCTTGGTAGGGTAGGGGTGGGGTCAGAAGAACAAAGAAAGGAGAGAAAGAATTAAGTTGTATTCTTAGGAGACAAAATAACACAACAAGCATTTTCCTGACCTACAGGCTAGGGAAGAAATAACCCTACAATGGTAATGAATCCAGTTGTTTCTAGCTGAACCCCACAATCACCATAATGGGAATCCCAGCTCAGGCTGAGCTCTTTCTCCTTTAAGGCAGGATAGCAGTAGGTATGGGCATGGGAAATTTGAAGAGAACCCTCAGGAGTCTCAGTAGCTGCTGCAGCCACTAGTAACGGAACCTGCTCTAGTCACTGCCCACATTCTTTCTTATCTGGAGACAAAGTGAAACTCCTGAGCTAGGGCCAGTGTCTTCTTCCTCTGTGACCTCTTCCAGTCACACGGTCACCCTGCTCTAGGGCAGGCAGTCCCTCTTCCCATTATGGAGGCCTCCAACAACCCTGTGCATAGCAGAGGGAGCAAATAGCTTCTTCTGCTTCTACCCTTTATCTGGTTCCCTAGAGGATGAGTGGGACTAGAGAAGGGGCAGAGGTCTCTCTACATTCCTCTCCTCTCTTCCGGGAAAGCCCCAGGAGATGTAAGGCAGCCAGCCCTCTTCCAGAGAGAGCCATCCCTTCTTTGCCTCCAGCCAAATTTCTTTCCACTCACCCACAGATTTCTTCTCTCCTCCCCATGTACTGCATTTCCATGAATATCCATAAAACTAATCTGTTGAAGAGTAGATTATACATTCTCCTAGAGTAATTTTAATTTCAGCTTTATTGGGGTAAAACTGACAAGTAAAATTGTAAGATATTTAAAGTGTACATTATGGCGATTTGATATATGAATACATTGGGAAATGATTCCCCCAACTGGTTAACTAACACGTCAGTCACCTCATATATTTATCTTTTTTTTTTTTTTGGTGAAAACATTTAAGTTCTGCTCTTTTAGCAATTTCAATTATAAAATACAATGTTAACTACAGTCACCATGTTTTACATTAGAGCCTCAGACCTTTTTTACCTTATAGCTGGATGTTTGCTCTTAGGGTCGATTTGATATTTTAGGCCTAACCCCCAATGCCTTGGGCCTGGTAATTTGTACATGAGAGTCAATCAATGCTTGGTGAATGAATGAGTGCGTGCATAAGGGAAGGAATGAATATAGCTAACCAAAGTTCACATTTCTGTTATTCCAAGGTTTATTGAAAAAGTTCTTTATCTTCTACTCTTCATAACAACAGTTAACTTCTATTTCAAATAGTTATCAAGATTCCGTACCACTTCCTTTGAAAAAAATTTGAAGTGGCATTTCAGTCAGTTTGCTCTGCAAAAACTTTGGTTTTCAAGTTTAAGTCTTCAAATTGGGAAGGAGCTTTTCAATCTCCTTCGATGTGGGGGTGGGAATGGGAAGGTGAGAAAAGAAATAAAAAGTATGGGAAACACTTCTTGAGCACACAAAACAGGATGAAGATCCAGTACCTTTACAGGTAAAGCCAGCCAAGTACATGTAAGCGCTTTTGCCTCTTGAAGAAGAAAAGACAACAAACCTGACTTAAATGAATGAAAGTTCTGGCGATAAAATCAAGCAATCCTGAGTAATCTGCAAATATATATACCCATCTAATTTTTTCTAAGAGAGAAAACTATTAAAACTAGAGTCTTTTCCCCACGTGTCCAACTTCATAAAAATATTCTTTACGTGGACTGCCATGCACTGACCTCTGTAAGACAAAATCAGCCAAAACAATAAGCCAGTCCAAGTCTAGAAGACTCCACTGCAGACTGAACAGGATAAATCTTGTAAGGCACTATATATAAGGAGACTGGTACACATTCCATCACTGAAGATGCTGGCTGCTGATAATGAGCTCACTGATGGCTGTCAGCTGAGATCTGATGTCATGCTGCCTGCTGATAATGAGCTCACTGATGGCTGTCAGCTGAGACCTGATGTCAGCGCTGCCCCTGATTATCACACAACGTTGGGCAAAGAATATAACATTTCCACCCTCAGTGCGTCATCTGCAAAATGTTGATAATAAACGAGTGTTCATATGAATTCGTCAGTTAATGTTTTCAAGTACTAGGGAAGTGAGCACCACTCCAGCTATTAGTGAGTCACAATAACTGACTTCATGCCATTTCAGACGCTTCGTCAGTGCTGAATGAAGTGCAACCAGATAAATCAACATAACGGTTGAATGAGGTCTTAAAATAGTGATCACCTTCACTGCGCCATGAAGGTGAAGTAAAGACAGTTTAAAAGCAGGCAGTACTATGGTGATATACTTGAGAGGCACAGCTTCATTCGAGAGAGAGTTTCCATTGATGAAACTTCAGCGATATTTATAGAATACCTACTATGCACAATAAGCCTTCTGGAATAGACAGAACTCAGATTTTATCATCAAGGTTTGTAGAACCTAGTTTTAGCCATGGCTAGCAAAGGCAGTTATCCTACTGGAAGCGATACGTAGTTAATTTAAGTCATTCTCTAACTTCAGCCTGATTCTGTGGGTAATTTGCAATAATTAAGCAACTCTGCCGGGGGTCAGATGAGATCAATACAATTTATAACACCTCATGAAATGTAGTGAGATGGTTCTACGTTTGAGATGATCTGGATGACTCTATAGTCTAGGATTTATAACATTTCTTTGGCTTAACATTATCAACAGCCAGGATATGTTAGGTCTTTGTATGTGGGGAATAAAGGTCCAGTGGCAGCACCAATACCAAGCAGTTGTCACAGGGAAAAGACCATAAAAAAAAATGTGAAAAACCCACAAAAACAATCATATTCCTTAGTGAAGGAGACTCAAGGTTTCAGGGTGCAACATTTATCTACTTTGAGAGAGATGCTTTGAATGGAGATTATTACACATACAAATATACCATATATTTATACATACACTCATTCCAAGTCACTTATTTGCCTTCCCAGGCTATTTGGATGAGTGAGGCCAAATAGATAAAATAATAGGCATTATCTCAGATGCATTTAAGAGCCAAATTTACTCAAAAAGCTCTCACTTGAATCACCAAAGGCTGTATAAAGACAAATACCTACGTACATTGGAATCACTAAAGATTTCTGATTCTTCACGTTCACAGCAAAGTAATGCTGCGGATTCACTGTCTTCCAAATGAGAGCTCTGTAATACAAACAAGATCATTTCAGAGATCCAGATAACAGGGCCACAAGCATAAGGGAAAAGGCCAGCAGAAATCACAGTGTCAGTGTTAGCCCATAGGTGAGAAGGTGCAATTCTGATTAGTAACGGCTGTTTTGAAGAGAATAAACAACACGATGATTGGTTAGGAAAACTGAGGAATATTTGAGTAGCAGAAGCATTTTCCGTGGTTTCCAAATTGGGCAATGGGATGTCCTTTTTCTGTAAAGATGGTGCTACTAAACCTTCAGAGTATGTACTCTGGACTTTTTCCAGAATGGGGTAGGTTTGTGTTCACTTACCCTCATATTCAAAGGTATATATTTGATGACTGTTTGGAGACAGGCTTTAGAATGTAACATAGCACATGATTAAGGGATCTAACTACTAGCCTGGCCTCGTTAGCCCTCTGCTAACAAGTGTTTATAAGAAGAGCCAAAAAACATGCCCTACCCAAGTCCTACTGACAGATGCCAGAAAACAATTTAAAACATTTCTTCCACTCTCCAATCTCTTTTTCAAAATCTGTCTAGAAGACAGATAAGAAAAATGAGACAAAGGAGTGAAACAATGAGCTGGTAACACAAGAGTATTTTTCCCTTATGACTAACAGCAACACAAAAAAGAGAAGAGAAAAAGCTCCAACTCTGACCCATTAAGTTCCTTCAAATGTTTTGGGTAACAGCTGCTGGAAACTGAGTTACTCCTACATAGAGATATATAAACTTATGTCATCAAAACTTCACACTACCATATGATCCACCAAATCCACTTCTGGGTATAAATCCAAAGGAATTGAAATCAGGATCTCGAAGAGACATCTGCACTCCCATGTGCATTGCAGCATTATTCACAATAACCAAGATATGGAAACAACCCAAATGTCTATTGACAGATGGGTAAAGAAAATGTGGTATATACCTACAATGGGATATTATTCAGCCTTAAAAAAGGAGGAAACCCTGCCATATGTGACAACATGGATGAGCCTGGAGGACGTTATGATCAGCGAAATATGCCAGTCACAGAAGGACAAATATGCATTTTTCCACTTATTTGAGGTATCTAAAATAATCCAACTCACAGTAGCACAGAGTAGAATGGTGGTTGCCAGGGGTTTGAGAGGAAGGAGGAAAAGGGGAGTTGTTCAAAGGGCATAAAGTTTCAGTTATGCAAATGATTACGTTTTAGAGATCTGCTGTACAACATGGGGCCTACTGTTAACAATACCGTGCATTAAAATTCTTTGTTAAGAGGGTAGATCTCATGTTAAATGTTCTTACCGCAAAACAAAAAACCAACAAAACCCCTAAGGGGCACAAGGAAACTTTTGGAGGTAATAGATTATGTTTATTACCTTGATTTTAATGATGGTTTCATGGGTGTACGCATTTGTCCAAACTCATCAAACTGTATGCATTAACTACGTCAAGATTTTTGTTTATCAATTACATCTCAATAAAGCTATTAAACAAAAAATGTCTCACTACCGGTGGCTGAAACTTAATCATATACAACTACTTTATTGCTCTCACGGTTGACTCATATTTTGTATTTTCAAAACTGAGACTGTGTTTCATTCAACTCCCAGAATACCTGCAGAGACTGAGTTTTAGAGTGCAAATAAACAAAGTAAAGTTCAGAGTTCCTACTTCTCCTAACTGCCTTCTCCTGGTTAATTTCCTTCTTACTTTTTCCCTACCCTGATCCTTTACCTACTTTTGGTTTCTGTCCTTACAACCCAGTCTCATATTCCATTTCTCCTCCCTCTTCCTCTTTCAGAAAATAAACAGAAACAACTAAATATTTAAAATCATTTTTAGGTCCTGCAAACGCAAAGTCTCTTTATTCCTTACTCCCTTGCATTTTGGAGGAGGGAAAAATAAGAATATTTACTCTGTCTTTTCAAAAAGAAAAAGTCAGTCTACAAAATATGTGAATACTTCTAATATTACAAAAGCTAAAGCCTTAATAAATAACAAACAAAATACCTGAAGGAATAAGGTAGAGATCAAAGCTGCTTTCAATTCTCCCAAATTCCCATATCACAACAAAATAACATAGATAATATTAAGCATATCAAAAATGGCTTGTCACTGTCAAGGTGTACACAAACTGAAAAACGTACACATTAATTAATCCAAATTATACTAGTTAACATTTTTAAGTTTTCATTCTTGTATATACATCAACATGTTTACATGAGCTCTTTCAAAATGACCTTTCAAGAAAGAGGTTCGGGCTTCCCTGGTGGCGCAGTGGTTGAGAGTCCGCCTGCCAATGCAGGGGATGTGGGTTCGTGCCCCGGTCCGGGAGGATCCTGCGTGCCGCAGAGTGGCTGGGCCCGTGAGCCATGGCCGCTGGGCCTGCGTATCCGGAGCCTGTGCTCCGCAGCAGGAAAGGCCACAACAGTGAGAGGCCCGCGTACCGCAAAAAAAAAAAAAAAGAAAGAGGTTCTTTTATATAAAATGGAATATTACTCAGCCATAAAAAAGAATGAAATTCTGCCATTTGCAACAACATGGATAGACCTGGAGTGTATTATGCTTAGTAAAACAAGTCAGACAGAGAAAGACAAATATGGTATGTAATCACTTATATGTGGAGTCTAAAAAATAAAACAAATGTATATAACAAAACAGAAACAGACTCACAGATATAGAAAACAAACTAGTAGATACCAGTGGAGGAAGGGAAGGAGGAGGAGAAAGATAGGGGTATGGGATTAAGAGATACAAACTACTATGTATAAAGTAGATAAGCAACAAGGATATACTGTGCAACATAGGGAAATTATAGCCATTATTTTGTAATAACTTTAAAGGGAGTATAATCTATAAAATACTGAATCACTACGCTGTACATCTGAAGCTAATATAATATTGTATCAACTATATTTCAATTAAAAAAAGAGGTCCTATAATGACACTTGCATTCCTAAAGTTATTTTAAGACTTCACTGCATACTTTTTTTTTTTTTTTTTTTTTTGCGGTATGCGGGCCTCTCACTGCTGTGGCCTCTCCCGTTGCGGCACAGCCTCAGCGGCCATGGCTCACGGGCCCAGCCACTCCGCGGCACGTGGGATCTTCCCAGACTGGGGCACGAACCCGTGTCCCCTGCATCAGCAGGCGGACTCTCAACCACTGCGCCACCAGGGAAGCCCTACTGCATACTTATTAATTGAAATTCAATTCATTAAGATACAAGGTATCAATTTAAGTGTGCTGGTAGCATTAAAAATAATTGGTTCCTGGAACAAGTATTTACTTGCAACCAACATATTTAATTCTAAATTAAATCCTAAGAATCCTAAAGGAAGACAAAGAATATTTCGATTTCTTTCCTCTGCTTTCTGAGGTACTTGGTAATTCCAATTCCTGAGTTGTTTCTCGGTTCTGCAGATTGAACTGTCTTGCTTATGACTATTCATAGAAGGAACTTTCACATATTGAGTTATGGGGAAGTCATTCTAGCTTGTACATGATTGAACTTGAATTTTATGCTAATTTTATAAGCCTTTTGTGGCCTATCAAACATACATTGTACATACGCTTTAATCACTTAAAAAAAAGGTGCTTTTACCAGAAGTAAGGAATGTCCGTGTTAAAAATAAAGATTAAGGGCTTCCCTGGTGGCGCAGTGGTTGAGAGTCTGCCTGCCGATGCAGTGGATACGGGTTCGTGCCCCGGTCCAGGAGGATCCCACATGCCGTGGAGCGGCTGGGCCCGTGAGCCATGGCCGCTGAGCCTGCGTGTCCGGAGCCTGTGCTCTGCAACAGGAGAGGCCACAACAGTGAGAGGCCCGCGTACAGAAAAAAAAATAATAATAAAAAAAAATAATAAAGATTAAATGCCTCCCTTCCTGCGACGCCAATGCTGGTACTCCTTCGATGATAACAGTTCCTTCCCAGGTGCCAAGGTCATATTGATTTGCTGTGTATATGCTGATCTGGTTTTTTTTTTTAAAACCTTGAAGAAATATATCTCTGACCTGTCTGATGTTCTTTGTTCTGACAAGATATAAAACTGTGTTGAAAACCATGCTCCTCCAGAGCAGCTCCCCAGGGTTATTTGAGAGGCTGTCTCTTGGGCTATAGTCCTCAGTTTGGTTCAAATAAAACTCTTTTTTATTCCTATTATAGACTGTTCATTGATTATTTTCATTGACATTATAAAGGGTTTATTCTAAGAATGAATGCTTAGGAACTCTATTAATATAATTTAGCATGTAATTAAGAAAAAAAATAAATGATTATCTAATAGATATCTAATATGGCTCTGTGGAAATATGCCCCTTTGGTCAAGTATCATTTGGAGAAAAACAGGGGCTAAGATTGGTTAGGAAAACACATCCGTATATAACAAGAAGTTTCAATCCAGAACAGCTTCTGAGCAACAATTATTGTAATAAAATGTTGCAATCTTTATATGGAACTTATGACGTAAAGCATCATGTACTACGGAGGATGTTTTGAAGAGTGTTAAAACCTAACTTGCGCAGTTACCTAACAATTTGCAAGCAGAAGTCTTAAAAAATAATCCCAAAAAAGTCAAAACCTATTCCTACTGTTGTCTCTTTTATTCTATTTTTGTTACAGCTTATGTGATTTTAAGAAGTAGAAAAATTAACTATTATTACATTTCTATCTTTCCTTTTTTCCTGCATCTTTTCTCCCCCCAACTCTTTTAGGGGTTCTAATTAAGTGAAGAATCACAGTTGTTCCTTCTTTTCTCTTTCTTTTGACTGCCTTGGGTCTTCATTGCTGTGTGCGGGCTTTCTCTAGTTGTGGAGAGCAGGGGCTACTCTTCGTTGTGGTGTGCGGGCTTCTCATTGCGGTGCCTTCTCTTGTTGCGGAGCACAGGCTCTAGGCACACAGGTTTCAGTAGCTGCAGCACGTGGGCTCAGTAGTTGTGGCTCATGGGCTCTAGAGTGCAGGCTCAGTAGTTGCGGCGCGGCTTAGTTGCTCTGCAGCATGTGGGAT